CCTATTCATTACTGGTTAGGTATATCCACAAATTCTTAGCTACATACTAGTGCAGCTTGCACCAGCCATATATTTATGAACATATTGTACTTCAAAAATGAACATACGTTTTTGTTCCCTTATATCTTAACTTTCTCTCTCTTTTTCTTTCTTACCTCTCTATTAATTTTCTCTCTCCTCAGTTATCTTCTCATTTCGAAACTTTCTCTCTCCTCATTTTTTCCTTTCCTTATAATTAAGTTGAGTAATTTTTTTTTTTATTAACTCACTTTCCTTAAATTATTAAACTTCTTTGTCCTTATACTTTGGGCATTCTCCAATTTATCACCATTGTAGCAATCTCCATCGTTATCATCTTTGTCACGGTCGTGAATCATCAGGTAATTTTGAGGGTTTTTTTTTTGTTTATAAATATGTATATGTTATAAAATTGTTGATTTCTATCAATTTTTTTCATTTGTTATTCCTAAGTTGTTATATATGTTATAGATTGATAATTACCGTCTTTATGATGAACAAAGAGCAGCTTAACCATGATAAGTTCGATAGACAAGATTAGATTTAAGGTGAATAATCAAATTTTTAGAGTTAAAATATTTACAATCGAACTTGAGTATAATTTCTGTAAAAATAAAAAATAATAAATAAATAAAAAAAAAATGAACGCGTAGTACTTTGAAACTGAACATTTAGTACAAATGAACATTTTATACAATAAAAATGAACATTTAGTACATAAAAAATGAACAAACTTTAACGATTTATTTTTTGTTAATAATTAAATCCAATGAAATTGAACCTATATGAAAATCATATTTATTTTTAATATACTAAATGTTCATAATTTTTTTAACGTGTTCATTTTTTTAGGTGTTCAGTTTTTAATAATAAATGTTCATTTTATTTAATGTGTTTATATATTTTGATGAAATGTTCATTTTATTAGTTATGGTCAAGCTATTCTATCATTGTATGATAAATGCTTCATTTTTAATATATAAAATGTTCATATTTTTTTTGACGTGTACACTTTAAAATACTAAATGTTCATTTTTTTTTACGTGTTTAAATTTTAATACGTTCATTTTTTTTACGTGTTCATAGTGTTTTTTTACTAAATGTTCGTTTTAAGGCCGTGGTCCAACAAATATGATAGTTATATTCATTTTTAATAAGAAACATGGAAACTATCGTAAACAATCCCACCTTTTGAAATTCCAGAAACAATCCCACCTTTGACAGGGATCTTCCATTAACAATCCCTGACCGGTCGGATTATTGTTTTCTTAGGTTATAAGACACGTGTCGGATTTTAATAGGTTTATTCTAATTTTTAATAATAAAAAAAAACAAAAAACAAAACTATAAAAAAAAAAAAAAAAAACAAAAACAAAAACCCCCAGCCCCGCCACTGCACTCCCCTCCCCATCCCCGCCCTTGCTTTCCTCGGCAACCCAACCTACCCCTCCAAAGTGCCGGAACTCAACCCCATAAACCCGAATAGCAGCCCCCAAAACCACCACCCTCAGGCCCGAAAACACCACCCTCAGGCCCGAAACCACCACCCTCATCCCAGAATCCACGCTTTCAATTACAATGCAACGATTTCCGTCGTATAATCCTCGCCATATATCCAACCATATTCTTTCTCGCAATCCTTATATTATTCCTTAAACGAAAAATTCGAACATCCAAATTCAAAAAATGGTGGAGATTAATCTCAGATAAAGTTCACGACCATCAATTTCGCAAAGTCCCGGAGTTCAACAATAATATAATTCGAACACCCAATCCATAGTTCCTTGCGACCAGAAATCGACGACTAGGGAGTGGGGGGAGAAAAAGGTGTGGGATTTCGGGTAGGAGGTGTTTGGGCCTAGTCCATGTCCTAAGCCCAGTGTACCTAAAATGACAAAAATACCCCTCCATGGTCCAGCTCATCATTAATCATTACAAAGTACGGATTTGCCCCTAATGTGTCCACATAAATACAGGTCTTCCACCTGAAAAGTAGAACTATAAATAGCTCATCATTCATTAATAGTGGGGACTTTTCTAATTCTCTCTCCTTCTGTCTCTACTTTCTCTCTCTCTCTCTATTTTCTCTCTCTAGAAAGTACATTTGCTGACTTAAGCATCGGAGGGGTTTTCCCGGGTCACGCCCCCGGGGCAGCTAACCTTCTTTGTTTTGCAGGCCGAGCCCTCTGACGTCAAGGCGGAGCCCTCGAACATACCTTTGAAAGGCGGAGCTAAGGAACTCTTAGACAATTAGGCTTGGATTCTAGGACATCTTGATACCTTACCCTAAAACTCTCAGGAGCATTCTGTTTTCAAAAACAGGTGGCGCCGTCTGTGGGGATAACAAACAAAAAGCTATGGTGAATACTAGGCGTCCCCGAACATATCAAGATGCAACTAGAAAAGCTCATGTCCTCTCAACTCGGCATAACCATGTAGTTGAGGAAATCGTACCATGACACAAGCTCCAGTCCTCTCAGCTTGGCATTACACTTCAATCCCCGATAGCACGACGGGAGTCAGGTCAGCCCAGCCAGACCAGAGATGCAATAGAGATAATCTATGAGCGAAGAATGAGAGAAAGGACGTTGGATGCCCGGGTGATACTTAACTTAAGGAGGAGAATCCCAAGGATGGAGATGATCAACCCCGAGGAGGCCCAACCCGAGTCGACTTCCAGCATGGCTTAACTCGATATCGTGATACCCCCACTCATTCGGATACTTCACGTCAAAGAACATCTTTCAGCATGTTTGGCAAAAGGCGTAGCCAAGGAAAATAAATCAAGTGAAGGTCAGAAATTCAAAACAGCACAGGAAGGACAAGCTCTCGGCTCTTGGTCCCCCAGCACTCACCCCAAGCTCTCGACACTTGGTCTAACTCACTAAAACATGACCATCTCTCAGCTAGGCGTCACAAGCAAGGTGTACAACTTGAAAAATTCAAAAAGAAGGGACAACCGAGGGATATGCTTCTATCAACCCCTCGGCATGCCTAGCCAAGGATATACTTCTATCAACCCCTCAACATACCTAGTCGAGGGATATACTTCTATCAACTCCCAACCGAGGGCTATGCTTCTATCAACCCCTCGACATGCCTAGCCAAGGAATATGCTACTATAAACCCTCGGCATGCCTAGCCGAGGGCTATGCTCCAATCAACCCCTCGGCATGCCTAGCCGAGGCTAGGCTTCTATCAACCCCTCGGGCTTACTTCTATCAATCCCTCAACATGCCTAGCCGAGGGATAAGCTACTATCAACCCCTCAGCATGCCTAGGCGAGGGCTATGCTCCGATCAAATCCTCGGCTCGGCATGTCTAGCCGAGGGCTATGCTTCTATCAACCCCTCGGCATGCCTAGCTGAGGGCTATGCTTCTGAGGGATATACTTCTATCAACCCCTCGGCATGCTTAGCTGAAGGCTATACTACTATCAACCCTCGGCATGCTTAGCCGAGGGCTATACTACTATCAACCCCTCGGCATGCCTAGCTGAGGGATATGCTTCTATCAATCCCTCGACATGCCTAGCTGAGAGATATGCTTCTATTAACCTCTCGGCATGCCTAGCCGAGGGCTATGCTTCTATCAACCACTCGGCATGCCTAGCCGAGGGCTATGCTTCTATCAACCACTCAGCATGCCTAGCCGAGGGATATGCTACTATCAACCCCTCAATGCCTAGCCGAGGGCTATGATTTTATCAACCTTTTGGCATGCCTAGCCGAGGGCTATGCTTCTATCAACCCCTCAGCATGCCTAGCCGAGGGCTATGCTTCTACCAATCCCTTGGCATGCCTAGTTGAGGGCTATGCTAAGATGAAAGCACTCCTTTTGAAAATGAACCTTACAAGATCAAGGAGATCACTCACTCGAGGGTTTTTCGCTCACAAGTTTCAAATGGCAAGGCCCTCAGCTCTCCCTCCCTATCAATCATAAATACTTATATGGCCGAGCCGAAAACCGACATGCTTGGAATGACAACTTAAGAAGGTTTTGTGTCTGAGCTACTTCTCATCTTGCAATGATGCCCTAGGGGAAATAAGAGCTAATGCTAGGAGATCTTTCTTTTAATAGCACCTCAATGTAAGAGTTAAAGTTTATTAATTAAGAAAATCCAGCTACTGGAAAAGTCACCATCATTACTTATATAGTCGCTCAAAGCTCTAAAAGCTTAAGAGCTCATTCTCTTCTCAAAAATCACCGAGCCTCCCTACATGCAGGATTCAACAGGTCGCTAAGCTGACATTGCCAATAACTAGTTTGTTCCAATGTTTAGGGCAAGATGCTAGCCTATACTCAATGTTTGAGATAGTGACCTGGTGAATCGCTGAAATAACAAAAGACTCGGTTAGCCCTCAGCTTATCCCAATAGATAGGATAGCCTAGCTCTCATACATCTTTAACTTGGGGCTCGATTAGCCCCTCATCCTATCCAAAAGTTGAGATATCCTAGCTCTCACACATCTTTAACTTGGGGCTCATTTAGCCCTCAACATATCCCAAAAGTTAGGATGGCTTACTTCTCATACATCTATAACAAAGGGCTCGTTTAGCCCCCAGCTCATCTCAGTCTATCTCAAGATTTGGGATAATGTACCTCTCTTATAACAATAACATAGGGCTCGTTTAGCCCCAGCCTATCCCATGGTCGGAATAGCATACCTCTCATATATTTTCATCAAGAGGCTTTCTTCAGCCCTTAGCCTATCTCAATGTTGGAAATAGCATATCATTCATTCATTATTTTTAACTAGGAGCTCGTTTAGCCCTCAGCTTATCTCAAGATTTGAGATAGCATTCTGCTCAGCTCTCATTTTAATATGGGGCTCATTAACCCTCAACTATCACAATATTTGAAATAGAGGTATGCCCAGCCCTCACTAAAGTGTTACTCGGTGCTTAATTTTAGCCCCTTGGTACTTCGAAATTCATGAAGAATCATCAAAAAGAGTAAACCGCAAACCAACAAAGAGAAATGTCAAGCGAAAGGGCATGAATATATTACAAAGTCAAAATAAAAGTCTCATACATAGAAGGGATGATGCCAAGTACAAGTCAACATATCCAAATATATCACAAAGAAAGTTAAATGTCTAAACATCAAGGCCGGAGGATCTCTTCAATGCAAGTCAAGCGCACCCCGGGGACCAATTCCTACAACATCAACAAAATTTAAAAGTTAGAAATAAACATCAAGCCAAGCCGACAAAACATTCAACTTAATCAACAAGAAGAAAAAGAAAAATCTCTTGGGTTTGTGATAAACTCAAAATCCAGGCATACCCCAGGCTCTCAGCGTCGCTATCCTAGGCTCAGCTCCTGGCTTATCTATGTCACCCCTCAACCTTGGGTCATTTTTTGCAAGATAATGCATGTCGAGCTCTCGGCCAACTGGCCTAGCTCGAGCACACTTTTGGTATATGAAACAAGGCCCTCGATCTAGAGTGGGCTTGGCCCTCGACTTAGAGTGGGCTTGGCCCTCGACCTATAGTGGGCTTAGCCCTCAACATGACAAGCCAAGTCCTCTGCATCTCTCAGCCTAGAAGAGGCCCTCAACTCCTCCCTCCGCTCGGCCTACTTAATAACATCTCTCAACTTGGCCTCCCTCCTCTCAGCTATTTAATGACTCTCTCAGCTTGGCCGAGCACCGCTCGGCCTATTCAATGACTCTCTCAACTCGGCCTTTCGATCATCACTCCCTCCGCTCGGCCTTTCATGAAAGTCTCCCAATACATATCTCCTGGCTTGCCTAAGTACAACAAAGGAAAAATTCCCTCGGCCTCGCCTACCCAAGGCTCCGGGCACTGTACTCTACCCCAAACGCTCGGAAATACTTCTTGCCCCTAACCTCTCGGTTTTCTTAAAAAGAAAAGTAAAAATGATAATAGCATATCATAAGATGTAGCTCTCAGCACGAATTTTCTCAAAGTACCTCCGCCTGGGGGTATAAAGTACTTGGTTTATTTCTCAAGGTACCTCCTGCTGGGGTTTTTCTCAAAAGTATCTCGACCTAGGCTATAAAAGTTCATGGGGTTATTATCAAAAGTACCTTAGCCCGGGGTATTGAGGTCTTGGGGTTATTCACAAACGTACCTCGGCCCGAGGTATAAAGTTCTTTGGGTTTTTTCTCAAAAAACCACCACCCGGGGGATAAAACTCCCTCCGCTCGGCATATCACTCACTCCTTCAGCTATCCAACACTTGCCTATCGACCCTTCGGTATTTCACTCACCGAGCTCTCGACCAATAGGCCAAACCCACGACATACTAGGTCAGGGATACCTCCCGGCATCGCTAAGGCATATCCAGCACTCAGCCAATGGCTCAGGCTCTCGGCATGGCTGGGCTCTCACCAATCTAGCATTCGGAATTTCAGTAACAAAAAAAAAAGATCAAAAAATCAACTTGAATAGTTGGACTCTTGGGCTGCATAGCGAAGCTCTTAGCTTACACAGCTAGGCTCTCGGACAATGTATGCTTGGCGAGCTCGCATATCCAAGCCCTTGGTTCTCACTACATACCATCTCAATACATATATAATTGATAGAAAAATTGAGCCCTCAATTCAAATCAGCTCGTGTGACCCAACTCTCGGCCGCACAAGCATACAGCTCCGTCTAAGACTTAACATCACTTTGAGAAAAATAAATCAAGCATCAAGCATAGCCCTCGGTGCTCCCACCTAGCTCTCGGTGTTTATACAAAGAAAAAAGGGGGAGGGGAATACTTATGCTCAGCTAAGCCTATCAACCAGCTCTTGGCACCCTCAAGTTATCTTATTGGCATGCATATCCAAAATCACAAGATAGACAAACAAGATGGAAACATGTGAATACGAAAGGCAAGAAGGATAGGTAGGGCCCTTGGCATGTAATGGAAAGAAAAGTTATTTCCTTCGGCTCTTCATTCCAACCACATCTCACAACCCTATCTCATCCCCTTAGTATCACTTTATACTATATAGCAAAATAGTTGAGTCTAATCAAACACACCGAAGGCCTACCAGTAAACCCTCGAGCGTCACAGCCGAGCAAGCTCTCGGCACGCCCAGCTTACCCCTCGGCTTGCCACTCCCCTCTCTGCTAAACAACCGACCAACCTCCTTCTCGACCGTGACTACCAGGCCTCTCGATATAATCAAGTTAAAGGGAAAAAAACAAAGAAGAAATTTTACTCTCGCAAAACAACCAAGAGATCGGCCTACCCAGCAAGACTGAGGGGCAGGCTAGCCAAGCGAACCGCATAACTGAGCCCTGGGCCCACGAGTTGCCCCGCTGCACCGCTGCCTCGTGCTATGCGCTCTATCTCAAGCTCACGCCTAGATCTCGGGTACCATGTCTCATCACCTAGCTCTCAACTGGCCTAGCTGCGTAGCAGGTCTCTCGGCACTCTTCGTACCCCCAGGATCTCGACCTTACATCCTAGCTTTTGGCAGATCTAGCTCACTCATGCTCTCGGGTATGGTCAGCGTCTTGGGTGTGCTGGGCTATCTAAGCCTTCAGCGATTCAACAATTAAAAATAAAATAAAATATAAAAAATAAAAAAAGTTAATATTGCTATCAAGTTTGAGAGCTAAGCCTATTACAATGGCCGATCACTCTCTCGGCAGTTAACCCTCCTTCGACATTTACTTAATCATCAAAGAATTTGCACAACTCAAAGATCTGCAAGCCTGAGACGATTATAAATGGTGAGGGAAAAATTGTTAAATTTCAAGGAAAAGGGAGGAGGAACATGCTCTCAGCATATTAACCACCCTGCAGCACTGGCTAGCTGTCAGCATTGACGAGTTTTCTCAGCATAGCAGCCTGCTATTCTCGGCATACCACTCACCGGTACTCCAGTTTTTAAAGAAAAAATATATGTACTCTTGGCATCCCAGCCTCCTTGGTATTCCCAAATTTAAAAAAAAAAAAAAAAAAAAAAAAAGTATAAAAGGGAAAAAGCGACTTTCGACAAGGTGACGATTGTGAGCAAAGACGATTATAAGGTTATCTCAAACCCAAGCCCTCAGAATATTTGGAAAAATTAACAACAAAGGTCCCAACTATTACTAATCTTCTTTAAAAGGGTCAACCTATTAATTAACTTTGGACAGACCCAACTATACTTTTGTTTTCTCTAAACAGTCTAGTGTGACTTGTTACCTGTTGAACCGGTAAACTTTTTAATTAAAAAAATATTTTCAGTTTTTGCCCTATTACGCATAGCCACCACAACTCCGTCCTCCGTCTCCACAACATAACCACCAGTCAACCACTTGAATTTCCACCACAACCATTTTTCTTCTAACTCCCATTTTTTCTCTCTCTCCACTACTTCCCATCCATGGCCACAACACTCAAGCCACCTCAAACTGGAAACCAACGTTTCCGCTATCCCACAACCATGGCCAATTGATGGCTACTCATCTTCTCTCTCTTTGCTTAACCTCCTCTTCTATATATCATATATGGCCATAAATTTCTCTAGGCGAAGGTTGATGAAGTTATTGTGTTGGGGGCTTTATGGTGGCGCACTAGCATAGGCAGGTCGGTTGTTGTAGGGGTGAGTTGGTGCCTTGGTGTCTTCGAATAGGTTATTGATGGGGGTGTTATTACGATGTTGTCGATGGGTAGGTTCTTGGTGACGATTTTGTCGTGGTTGAGTGGGTGGGTTTTAAACTTGCTATGGAGGTGGATGGGTTAATCGGTGGTAATTTTGCTGTGGATCTAGGCTAGCGGGTAGGTGGTGGTGGACTGGCGGTGTCATTGACAATGGTGATTTTTTTTTTTTTTTTTTGTGGAAGATGATAGTGATTTTTCTTATGTGCGTAGGTGTTTGGTAGTTATGTGGGGTGGTCTGGGTTGGTTGTTTTGTGGCTGGGGTTGCTTTGATGGTGGTGGTTTATTAATTGGTAGGGGGCATGGGGTGGTTGTGGCAATATGTAATCTATTATAATGCTGAATTTGCTCATGTATCACATAAATTGGTAGATAATTAATAACTACATAAATTCCTATTACGTAATTTAACTTTTAATATAATCCGACGAATGTTGCTTGCCACTATGCATATTGGATTGATTTATGCAATAATTTTAAGTTTTAAAAAGTTGCAACAAATTTAAGAGAAGAAGAAAAAATTGCAATATTGGAGGGAGGTTATATCGAAATCAAAAAGAAAGGGGAAAATTTTGATTTTTGTAAATTCAAGGTCACATGATATACACGAATACTAGTAATAGTTGGACCTATCTTGTTAATTTTTCCAATATTAAAAGAAAGTGGAAAAACTTCAATATGTTTGGCAGGTGAGACACGCATAAGAGACAAAAAACAGAGAAAGTGTATACCATCGTAGCTCTCGGCACTTTAATAAAAGCAAGTCTAGCCTTCTGACTACTCATCAAATATAAAAAGCAAACAACCCCTTGGTATTTCTTTTACACAAGAAAAGACAAAGAATAGAAAGAATTATTCTTTCTTTTTCTCTTTCTTTTCTCAAAAACTTTTCTGTACACCCGGTTTACACTAAAATATTAGTGTACAACAAAGAGTATATGGGTAACTTTTGGCCAATTTAGGGTAACTTTTTACCTTTTTTTGGGTAACTTTGAACCTGATATAATTTTTATGTAAATAGATAACAAGAAAAGTTTTATAAGGGTAATATAATTACTTTCAATCACTAATATTTAATTTTTAGTCATTTAAAATGTGATTCTTTACAAATAAAGCATACATAACTTATATTTGTATTGGGTTATTTTTATACATATTAGGGTAACTTTTATTTATTTAGGGGTAACTTTTGATCACTTTAGGGCAGCTTTTATAACAGATGTACAATAATTATTGTACACCCGATTTCTTATAAAGTTTGTGTTCTTTTTTCAAGGCTACCCTCTTGGCAATATCTTGGCAATGTTAGGTGAGCTCTTTGTTAAATGGGCCCAAGTGTATTCCCATAAGGTCAAATGAAGCTGTAATACTCCGTATTTTTATAATATTTTTATATAAAAATTATTTATTTTATTTATATTTATAAATTAAAATGATTCATTTCATTTTAAAAGAAACTAATTATTTAAATATTATGTAAGTGTGCATAAAATAATATGAGTCATTAGTTCAGTCAATAAAAATGTTTTGAATTGGGTTATTTTTATTTGAATGATTGGATCAACATGTTGGGAAATTAAGGGCACTTAAGAGCCCAATAAGTTGGCCCCAAAGGAAGAAGTCGAGGGGGAGTAGGATTTAATAATGGCAGTTTTTTAATTATGTGTTTTTGTTTTAAAAGATGAGTATAAATAATTCAAAACCTTAAAAAAATTTCACTCAAAAATCATTATTGTCATATTTCACAAAAATTTCAAAAGTTTTCTCTTTATTTTCTCTCTCCTTTTTCTCCTTATTTTTCCTCCCTTTTTCCTCTTCTTTTTCTCTCTTCTCCAACACCTCTCTCTCCTCTTCCCCCTCACGCACGTTGGCAGCCACCGGCGCCACCACCAGCCATCAGCGACCACCGGCGGCCAGCAGTAGCAACCGGCGACCACCGCCAGCCACCTCCTTCTCTCTCCTTTTGTTTTTGGTTCGGTATTATTATTATTATTATTATTATTATTATTATTATTATAAAAAAAAAAACTCTTTTTCTTTTCCTAATTTAATTCTAGTTGTTTTTATTAATTTAAAGCATGATTTTGATTATGTTTTGGTATTGATTTTGGGTATTTGATGTTGTTAAATTATTTATATAATTTTCAAATTTTTATTCAATCAAAAACCCCAATTTACAAATCCTAAAAATTGGGAATTTATGGTTTATGGTTAGGGTTTGATCCTAGGTTGTGTTTGTTGTTTAATTAATGGTTTAAAGCACTCAAATTAATGCTGGAATTTATTTATGCACACTACCTTTTAATTATTGAGTTAGGGTTTTATTACCCATAAAAGAAAAAAAAGTTTTAATGATTTAAATATGATTTCTTGGTCTATTGGTGATGTTTTATATTAGATAACTATGTTGGAATTTTATTTAAGTCATCAAAATTAAGTCTTTTTGAAAGGATTTAAAGTACCTACTTAAAGAAAAGGGTTTTTTTTTATGGCTTTTATGTCATTATATTGGGCTAATTAGTAAGGTTTAAAGTGTATTATAGTTTCTGGAAATTTGTGACAATAGTATATTAATTATAGTTATGTATTCTTATCAGTAGGAAGCTTTAAGCCAGGTGATTTCTAGCGAGTGTGGCCAAGTTTAGGCGTTTTTCAAGATACGTATATGCACAAGAATATTTGTGTATGCGTAGTATCATGCTAGGATTGTAAAGTACGATTTAAGTGATGAGTTAGTAGCCTGTTTGGTTGATTATATGCTTGGAATTGATGTTGGTTGAGCATGAATTGTTGTGCAAGCATGTGAATATGTTATTTTAGGCATGATACAAGTTGAATACGTATGAATCATGGAAGTATGTTTTATTTTCAAGTATCAAGAAAACATGTATTTAATAAGCAAGGCTTATATATGAATTAAAGAGCTAAAGTTAGAATTATTGAGCATGATTCATGAATTTATTTCTTACCCATTTATTATTGGTGTTGAGTCAAGAAGGTAAATTATTTATTTACTCACTCATGTAAGTTGAGTTCGAGTCAAGGATGTTTAGCAGTGCGTTTTATGCACCAAGGTAGTAATCGTGCAATTTTGTGCACAAAAATAGGCAAGGAACCTTAATTAAAATAAATAGTATGTGCTCACTAATTAATTAAAGAATGAATTGGAAGTTTGTATTTAATGTTGTTATGTTTATTCTTGATTATTGGTTGGAGTCATCACATGTTAAATTGGTAAATCACGTAAAGTGTAAGAGGATACGCACCAAAACTCTTGGAACGTATATACCTTGAGTATGAACATATGGGGGAGTTATGGGGTTTTATATTTAACCATAGCTTCTACAGGGGTACAGGACGCTATAATTTCTTTTATTATTAATGCGCTGGAATTCCGTCACAAGTGTGACATAGTAGGTGCCAATTGGGGTAGCTCCCTGATTGGAAGCTCAATATTTAAATGAGCTATTTTCAAGGAAGGAAACCCGTTCGATGCGTAATCCAAAATTATTATTTAATAATTAATATTGCTAGTTATGAGTCAAAGGTAAGTTGACTTGTAATCGTTATGGCGAGCATGTTTTAAATATTTTATTTTGATGCTAGGATATTCATGTTAGTGTGGTGCATATGTACTTAACTTTGCTTATTCGTACTTTTGTGTTTGTGTTTGGTTTCCTTTGGATTGGCCCTAATATGAACCATTTATATGGTGGGTAGAGGGTTGAATAAAGAGGAAGTAACAGGTACTTGAAGCATGAAGAGCATGATGGGATAGAGTGTAGAGAGTTACTTGTTATGTTTCTTAGTTTTGATATTTTTGAATTATTGATTTGTTTATGGACTAACATTATTGTGTTTTTTTTTAGTGGTTTTAAGAAGGGTCATGTTTGAATTGGTTTCAACTTGCATGTGAATGTTTTATTTTACATTTGTTTTGAGGTTGTGAACTCAAGTTTTAATTTTAAAAGTTGGTTTTTTTTTAGATTTTCGCTGTGTGACTTTGAAAATTAGCCTTAGCCGTTATCACCCCGGGTGGCAGTAATATTTTGGTTATTCCTAAAAAGGGTTTTATTTAGAGTACAATAAAAAGAAGGAAATTTTCAGGGTACTACAGAAGCTCACTTACAAGTTAGTAAGTATTTAATCATCATCATTTTTCCTTCAATCCCAGTCAAAGGCCAAAACAAGTCATACTCTCGGCTATGCATAAGTCGTAACTCTCGATATATCATCAAGATTTGACATGCTCTCCGCCGTCAACAAGTTATTATTTATTATCATGCTTACCTCTCGGACTATTTTTACAATAACTTAGCT